ACTTGCTCAGCAACTTTTAGATACCTACTTAGCAGTTTTTGAGGTTCTTGAGATTGTTTAAGATAATTAATACTCATTTTGTATAACAAAACTCTTAGCCTCGCAATACTGTATGAGGTGTAATGTTTTTTGGAACAGTGACCTAAGGTGCAATACAATTTACAAACTGATGTTCTTTCAATTGTTTTATTCGAAGGTCAATCGCTTAAGAGACGATGGTCACAAGAAAAATTCAATTTATTCACCTTTTTTTTTTTTTGGTACAGAATTTATTCACCTTTAATAAAACGAATAACACACTTTAAACTCAAATTCACGTGTCAAACACCATCTAAGAATTTATTAAGAAACAAATAGTGCATAAATAGATAAAAAATGAAGAAAACTCACGTGAACTTGTTTGGTGTGGATTGTGAAAAGAGTTTTTTTTTACTTTAAAAGCACAAACCAACCAAATGGGGTAGCTTCCTAAAGTGGCTGCAGTTTTTAAAAAGCTCAGCTTCTCACTTTTCCTTTGCAAAAAGGCCGGAAGCTCCCGATTCTTACTTCCGCGGGAGCTTCTCGCCTAAACATTTATTAATGAAATTGACCTGATATCCTCATTTTGTCCTCACATTTCTTTTTATTTACAAAAAAACCACTATATAAAGGGTTGATTTTATAACAGATCTGCGTTTTTCTTTCTTTCTCTCTGAAGCAACAGATCTGCATTTTTCTCCCTCCCTTCTTGCCCATCTTCTTCCAAGCCCGCCCGCGTCCTCCTGTGCTGCCGCTACGCTCCCAAGTGTGGAACCGCTCGTCCCTCTCCCCCCACCACGGTCTAGTACCGCGCCGTGCCATTTAGCCGATCGTCTTCAAGCCGCTGCCCTCGTCTCAGATCAAAGCAGAGCTTGACTAGAGGTAGAGGGGGCGCCGCTCGATGATCTGGAAATGAGATTTGGGGCTTTAAGAACTGTTGTTCGGGCCATATGTTTTTGAGGCTTGGTCAGGTTGTGCACAGAAGAATCATGGACGGTGATATTGTCTTTATCAATAGCCTCCCAACCACATGATGTATTTAGATTTTTTTTTCAATAAAAATAATTATAAAATTCTTGATAAATGATATAGATTTCTTGATAAATAAATTTTTTTTTAAAAAAAGAGAAAGAATGTTTTATTTTTTAATATTAAAATATAATTATTTATTTATTTATTAATATAAAATTATTAATTATTAACAGTTATATTTAATAAATAAAAAATTTTATTTGTAATAATTAATTTTAATATAATTAAATTAAAAAAATTAAAACTCTATAAAAATATAAAAAAAAAAAACAATGCTTTTTTTTAGAAAATATCTTTTTTAGTTATTTCATTATTAAAAGATCTCTTACAAAAAAATTTATTAAATAATTTTTTACTCTACAAGTATTTTCATATAAAATTTTACCAAACACTTTTAATTTCTCAAAAACAATCCTTTTACATCAGATTTTTATATAAAATTTTACCAAACACTTTTAATTTCTCAAAAACAATCCTTTTACATCAGATTTTTTTCAACAGAACTTCCATCAAAAATCCTAGCCACACCAAACAGGTTCATAGCCGAGAGTTTGATCTCACAACCTTTTGGACAATTAACTTTAAGATTTTAACGAGTTAATTCGAGATTTCATTATTCGCTGACAAAGTTTTATTTGTACATGTATTGGATAGAAAAATAATTTTTTAAAAAAACAAAAAATATATTAATTGATCAATAAAATACAAAAACTACTCCAGCCTGCATGAATAACAAAATAATAGCTCACACATGTTTTATTTTATTTTAATTTCTACGTAAAAAATGATAAATAGAGTGCAGCTTTCAAAAGGTGATAAATTCTGATGGGGTAATGTCACATCATAACAGAGAAATTGGGTAACCATAGGGGAGGTATATCGATTCTCCAAGAGACTATTGTTATCATCAGTTGTCTATACGACCCTCGCAAATTAGCCAACCCAGTAATAGATATAATTTGAATGAACTGTCATTTTTGTAGACCAAAGGGGTGATTAATATAGACATCCAACTTGTTTTATTTGATAATATCATTATTTAATTTCCTCCATTATTTTAATCAATGTTAGTAGTACTTTACTATTTTTTTCCTCATTGGCTTATAAAGTCACTTTTTTGGGGCGAAAGAAAAGACACAAATAAGAGAAAATGTAGCAGAGTATTGATGGCAAGAGTTTTGTTGGTGCGACATTATGTTTTGCTCGTAGGCAAAATAGTACGATACCATGTATTTAACACAGAAAAAGGGACGGACCACGTTTTCTGTTGCGGTAGCTCACAATATTCTTGTCCTTATTACCTCTTTTCGTTTTGATTGCTTCATATCTTTAGCCCACCGAATCTCTGAAACCGCCTCTTGGAACATATGACAAAAAGATAGCAAATAAATAAATAAATAAAATTCGGAACATATTTATATCACATGATAAATTATTAGAGTCACGTAGAATTTTAAATATTATTTTTTAAATTATTAATTTTATTTAGTTTAATTGTTAAAAGTAATTAATAATTGTAGTTATTAATTAATAAATAATAAAATAATTAATTTATTACTTAATAATTTAAAATTAATTTATACATAATATTTTTAAATATCATAATTTATTATTATAAAAAAATTGTGTGATCTTGTGTGATCTTAATCAATGCCAATTATTGATATTCTTATCAAGCATGACACGACTGAGATCAAGGCAGATCCGGAAATTGTTTTAGGGAACAAACCATATTTTAGACTTATATAGAGAAAATGCTCAAATAAGAATATAAATTTGGTCATTTTTTATTTAAGAATATAAATTTTTTGAATTTTTAAATTAAGTGATAAACTTTATTTTTTTAATTTAAGGATATCAATTTTGTGTTTTTTTTTACTTAAGAATTTA